ATACATACATACATACATACATACATACATACATACATACATACATACATACATACATACATACATACAAACGTACATGCCTAAACTCCTATCTATGCTTTCATGTTTTTACATGCTCTAATAACAATTTCAAATGGACGCATTATAATATCTGATTCCTTTTAAAGAAAGACCTTTACTCGTTGAAGACCTTTAATAACAAATCATCTACATTGTATATTTGCAATGTTTCAGTTGTTCCATATTCCTCCTCTTCTTGACTACTACTCATCTACTTGACTTGATCTTTTCTTTTTTGCGTTTCTTTCTTACACAACAGACCGTATTTACCCATTCTTTTTTGTCACCACTTAGTCCTGACGAGCCTCGGGTGATTACAGATTTTGGTTGGAATGACTAAGAAGAGAAACGAACCCAAATATTTAAGTATTTTCTAGTACTACCTGACGTATGTATAATTTTTGATTAGTGTTTACAAAATGTAGTTCTTCATGGCTTTTTGGCAGCTCGTGAAGGGCTGGGGAGGCTCTAAAAGTAGTCACCAAAACCGATTTCGGGACTCCAGATGACCATCTAAGTAGAGGCATTGTGCTTGGACCTCCGAATAGAGCTGGGTTCGCATAGCTGAGGGCTTGTTCATGGGTTATTGTACTTGTGATGCCTCGTCAACGATAGTAATTTTACGATCAGCAATATGGTTATTGAAAAATTCTTCCCTTGGCGGTCGCGCTAAGAAGTGATGCCGTGGTCAAAAGAAGCGTCTCTATGGGTCGTACTTAAAACAATCTTCGAACGACATTCTCTACGCATTGGGATACATCTTTCACGGCCAATATGTATTCTTCGACTCCTTTTTTTGTTATGTTTATCGAGTGCTCCGGATCTCTAGTTTACTGTTCATAGAGCAGTTGTCCTTCACGAAATTGAGTACAGTAGCCACGTTCTTGAGGGCGAAGCTTGCGAATTATTCGCTCAGTGATTTCGAATCCCGACTGATTTGCATTCATCGAAGAATGCCAATTCCGAAATGTATCATAAGGTCGAACCTGCCGAATTCTTCGAGGGCTAGCATCGCATTCGTGAAATAAGCCACATCGTTGTTGGCTGTGACTATTTGACCATTTGTGACTTTTTGGCCGTTCGACTTTGTGACCATTTTGTGCTGAGTCAAGAGTCCTGCAATAATGGCACCTAGGATAGTATTCCCGGTGCCAAAAGTTGCTTGTATTCGCGCGACTGTTTGATTCGCCATTCCGATTTTCAGCGAGGTTTGCTGATAGAGTGTCAACAAGATGCACCATTGTTTCAGCCGTGAGGTATCTTTGAGCGAAGCCGAGGAGATTGGCATATCTAGAGTTTGGGGTGACTTGGGTAAGAGAACTGCTGGAAATTGATAGACGAGGTCGACGATCTGATGTTCGGCGGTGTTGATATCGACTTGGGTGACGATGCGGAGCATTCCGGATATGGTATCAGTGGCTGGGCTTGCTAATTTGGTAGGTTAAGCAGTATGCAAGTAACCGCCGATAATTCGTAGCCCGTCGACTGAACGTCCATTTCTCCCTATGACTTAGTGNCCCGGTGCCAAAAGTGGCTTGTATTCGCGCGACTGTTTGATTCGCCATCCCGAATTCCAGCGAGGTTTGATGATAGGATGTCAACAAGGTGCACTATTGTTTCAGCCGTGAGGTATCTTTGAGCGAAGCCGAGGAGATTGGCGTATCTAGAGTTTGGGGTTACTTGGGTAAAAGAACTGCTGAATTTTGATAGACGAGGTCGACGATCTGATGTTCGGCTGTGTTGATATCGACTTGGGTGACGATGTGGAGCATTCTGGATATGGTATCAATGGCTGGGCTTGCTAATTTGGTAGGTTAAGCAGTATGCAAGTAACCGCCGATAATTCGTAGCCCGTCGACTGAACGTCCATTTCTCCCTATGACTTAGTGAATCTTCGTGATTGTGAAGCCAGAGATTCGTATGAAGATATGCGTACAGTCCACATTGAAGAAAACAGAGTTCACGTGCATTTTCACCGTGTGATCCGCTCCAGCGACTCAAAGATTAAGGAGACGTCCTTAACTCCACACTGCTTCATGGGCCATGTCGTTTAGGATGAAGACGAAACGGATTTGGTACGCTATGCTCAATGGCTTAGTGAATGTTACCCAACGGAGGGCTCTGTCGTAGAACATGGTTGTTATGGCAGCAAAGGTTGAACATGAGACGCTAAAAAGTTGTCCCCTCTTTCGTTTGTCTCGAGCCGTGTCAGTGGTGTAGCTGACGAAGTTGTCAGCGCGGCCCGTTCACCACTCTTGTCATTGGGACAGAGCTTCATTACGCAAAGGGGTAGTGCTCCGTCACTCGCGTTCAGGGGTGAAAGTTGACGGACCAATTCAAACTACTAACGGGCATCGCGCCAGGCTTCGATAACAGCTGGAGTGGTCACGTCCCGTAGTTCCTTGGCGTCTCTCCAGAGCAGCGTCGATATCCCCAAGATGCAGCAAGGTCGAGGGAAGTTCCTAGTGAACTTCGGTTGTGTGAAAAGGATGTCGTCTATCTCCTGGACTGGCGACAACCTCAATAACTCTGAAGGCCCGTGCCTGAGAGCGCTTAGTGGTCTGAGGCATAATCTATTGAGGAATATTCCGCTTATGTAAAGGAAAATCAAACGACAAGAAAGGAGACAATTGAGGCACAAAAGCGACGTAGAAAATGGTAACTTTGTTGGGGTTGCGGCAATGGCAATGAATGCTGAATAAATCATAAGAATTTGCAAACGGAATTGTGAGAAGATAACTTTATAGCCGCTACGGAGCAGTTACATGCGGTGATGTGGAAGACATGGAGAGAGGGGGCGCCCTGGGAAAGTGAGGGTAAACATTCTAGCTCAATGATTTGAATTACTCAGACCATCTGAATGCATGATGCTTCATCAGAGAGGAAGTAAGGTACCCGAACCCGAAAAACATCCAACGCATAGAGCAGAAAATAGTGCGGAAAACTCATGGAGTATGTGAAGTTCCGATAAAGTCTGAAAATCGTATTGCGCTAGCGGCCATTTGATGTTCTTTTGATGACGAAGAATCACGTTGGTAATCGCTCTGGTCCAACTGTCATCACAACGTCGCATAATGTTCTGATCTTCTATTTCTTGGCGTAAGTAACGACATCCCTGAAATTCCTTCGATGACTGAGCTCGAAACACCGGACTCCTGCTTATCCTATTTTCGCAGAATCTAAGTGTCCAAGGCGTACGTCAAGGTAGGAAGGAAAAGTGTGGAGGTGCTCATCGTATCGCATCAGCGTGGTGCTGATAACCTTAATCTTCTTCGCTACTCCGTATGCTTGAAAGCTCCCTACTCCGCACGTTCTGTCTGCTCGGCTCCGGAGCCGGAGCGTTTATCATGTTGGCTTCTCGACCTAGATACACGTAGCTAGAGCAAGCAAGTTGTCGTCCGCAAATCGGAGATCATGTAAGTGGCGGCCGTCAGCCTCCAAGCCCAAGGCCTCCCATTCCGAATGACGCGGCATGTTCACGGGGAGGATTCTGAAGAGTAGGTGTTATCGCTCTGTCTCACTCCACTCTTCACGTTGACAATGACCTTCTCGTAGTATGGTGGGCTGCTAGCTGGAAAGTAGCCGTAGAGCTTATATGTTGATTAGGAATACCCAGTTGCAATGGACTTCAATTACTGCTTCTATCTCGACTGTCTCAAAGACCTTCTTCAAGTCGATGGTGGTCAGCCATAGCGGCATCCTGTATTCTCGCGATACTTTGACGAGTCCTATGCCAGCGTGAATTTAATCGATTGTACTGAACCCTTCCGAAGCCTAATTGCTCATATGACTGTCCTTCATCTAATATTCTGTCATTTCTATCGAGGATGATTGTGTGAAAGGTATATGGATAAAAAGCACTAGGCAAATTTGGTTGCCAATATCGTCTGGGTCTCCCTTCTTACCTTCTGCCTTCGGCATTTAGAGAGGTACCGCACGAGTGACTAGCCGATGTTCTAACGAAAGCTGGTGAAAGGCTTATTAGATATTGTGGTTTGAAATGGTGTAGACGTGGCTGTCGAAAAGATCAGAGCAGATGTCGTAGACGATTTCCTTCATTGTCCTTCAAGATGCAGTGACTGTTCGGTAAGAACGATGAAGGGAAGTCATCTAGGTCTCGTAATTGCGAAGCTTCTCTGCATAGCTCCGCAAGATCGGACTCTCCTCAGTCTTCTCATAAATTCTCAATGAAAACGAAGTTGTTTCGATTGGACGGTGAGGGTCTTGCGGCTTTGTTTTCTTAACTTCGTGGCTTGCTCTCCGCTCAGTGAGAAGCAGAATCCAAAGAACGATTTCGTGCGGAACTTCGAAACAATTGCGACGTCAATCAACATTTTCGATCGAAGTTGGTTCGATCTGTTGCATTATGAAACTGTCCACCGAAAGCCACCGCAAATGAGATGGCTTCTGGCACTGCGAACAAGCATAGATGATGTGGACCGACAACTCGACCCCACATATAGTTGCTCAGCCGTTCTACTGAAGCTTATTATTAAGTTGAAATCACCGACGATGAGCTTGAAGAAAGTGTGGTTCTTTCTGAAGGGCTCCTAGCTTGATTTTGGTGCGTAGGTAACGAGGATTGTTGAAGCTGGGGTTGAGTCACATCTCACGTCCGATTCGGTCTGTCAAGTTCGTACAAATCGATGTTCATGACCAAGTGCGTATTGACGAGGACACCTACACCTCCGACGCTCTGCTGCCCCATGTTCCAAGAAACAGTGCGTCTTTAGTTCCGAAAACGGCGTAAAGGGAGAGATGCTTTCTTGTCTCGGTCAGTCCGATGACGTCTTGCTTGATTTTCCTAGCTCTCATCATCAGATTTTGATACACAAGCCAAAGCAAACTTTCATGCTTTACAAGTGCAGATTGTTACTTTAGTCCTTCTCATCTTGGGCTCCCGTTTCGGTCCTGATATTTTAGCAGCCTCTCCCGAGCAGTCCTACCTAACAGGGATGTGGCATACAGTGAAAATGTATTTCAGCCTTTCTTGTGCCCTATCTAAGCCGTTTTTCGACCTAACAGTACTGGATATACCTTAATTGCGAGCCACGGAGGAATCTTGAATCCACTCTTAGCATGAAAATGTGCCTCCGAGTAATATCAAACTAAACTTCTGCGACGCCCAAATTCTTGTAATCCTTATTCACTGATCGCTTTTGTTATGCTACCGCGACCATCCTTACTTGTTATAAGCGTTGCGGAAGCAGCAAACAATCAGATGATTGAGAAGCAATGAATATTTCTTTCTAACTCTGTTTTCCTCATTATAACTATCCAGTCGGAAGCCAATATAATCAGTTGTAATTATGGTGTAAGCAAGCCTAGTAAAAGTAGGGCGTGAGGTTAGAGAGGTTACCCGCAATTACACAAGTTTCTTGAGATGTTTATTTTTCGCGTTATCGGTGTCTTATCGATACTCAGGAATATCGCACGGGCTACTGTCTGTTGTTTTTGGCTTTATATCCCTTTTTCTTTTATTTTGTTCTATTCTTCCGTTGAGATCCTATCGATCAACAACTGTTCTTCTGTTAGTTATGTGGTGTTCTCTTTGAAGATTGTTGTGAGGAGGGGCAACGCTCGTTAATCCCTTATCGCTGTGATGAAATTTCAAAGCAGTTGTGGGAGGAGAATTGGAATCAGTCCTAATCTTAACCCAGAAAACAGACTGGACAAATTCAATAGTAAGGAGGAAATGACTAAGGTTCATCTTCTGACGCTATTTTAGATCCTTTATTTCTTGATCTCGAGAGTTTTTGTAAGTAAAAAGGGAAAGCAGCCATACGAAACGTCCGTTCAGCGTTGCCTGTATGGGATCGTTTACTCTGGCAGGCTGTGATGATTTATGCCAGAACATTTTTTCAAGGCTTCCTTGTTCGTTTCTATGGCTAATTATAACAACACATAAATGGAAACCATTTATGTGTTGTTATAATTATAATGGTTTTTTATTGTTTTTTTTTCAATTTGAACACCAAAAAATGTTTACCATTCTGATATTTCACGCTGTCATAGCAGATTGTGATCTGGTCCTGGTTGTGGTAAGAGCGACAAGATTGTGATGTTTCCAAAGAAAACGAGCAGCTGTTGGATTAGTTGATTCATCTACTTTGGTCGAGATTCTGTTCTTAAAGGAAAAAAATGAGAGTGTAAAGACAGTGGTTTAGCCACTTGTTGGATCTTTCTTGGTTGTCCTCGTCTTTATACAGCCCTCTTTTCCGCGGCTCTCACACAACTGCTATGGTCAGAGCTTGAAGAGAAATACTTTTATCTTTGTCGTCAGGATTAAACATTTCTATTGTTATACTGTAAGAATTTAGAACTCTTATTATAACATCGTCTGGTTATTTGGCTCACTTTACCAAGCGACTGCTTCAGGTATAACCAAAGAGCTCCTTT